ATTAATCTATTTTCCATTTAAATAAACCCCAAAATATGATGCTGGGTTTTTTTTTATTTAAGAATAACTTTATACATTTTTAAGACACTTAATTGTAACACGCGGCGTTTGAAAGCTCTTCAAGATAGATTAAAATTATAACTGAGTTTCGACAATTTATTTAGTCGGAAAACCTCTTGAAATCTTGAAACAAAGGCAATAGATAATAAGGTCAATATGATCTGAAATAATAAAATCAATTCGATATTTATAGAAAAATTTGTTTTTTTTTTTGTGTTTTATTATTCCGAGGGTTTTATCGATTAAACTACTTGTCAAAATTAAATTATAGTAATAATCACACATGAAAAAATATGTATAAGCTTTTAAATGTCGGGATTTAGAATCAAGTGTGTTAAAAGTTGATCAAGTTAGGTTAGGTCAGGTATACGTAATTAAAAAAACCTAGTAATATATTTTGTGGGTCATCTAAACGGGGAATGACATTTTTTCTTTTACCAGACACTTTTTCAACTGTATACAGGGTGATTTTTTTTATCATGAGCCACTCAATATCCCATAGGGTTTAATAAGAAGTTAACATTTTTTTTTCATATTGTTTTTATACAATGTTATCTCAACTTTTCTCAATCTTTTTCTAGTTTACCCCCCTTCTAACTTAGTTATTTTGATAGTAACTTTTGAAACTTAAATAGTAACGTACATACTTTATTAACTTTTTAAGTTGAGAATAATGTACTAAAAATGTTGATTGGTCGAAAACCAGTTTCGGGTAATTAATTTTGAAGTTATTGAAATTTCAAGTTTGATTGGGAGGGGAAGTGGAGTTTAGTATTATTTTAATTTGTGCGCACTTCCCATTCCATCTTAAATTTTAAACTCTTATAACTAAATTACCCTGTATATATATATATATATATATATATATATAAGTATATACAGGGTGATCATTTGTTTATGAACCAATGAATATCTCATAAATGTGTTTAAATAATAGTGTTTTTTTTATATAATGTTTTAAATACAGTGTTCTTAATTGGTCACAGTGCTTTCTGCTTTTACGCTCTCTTCTAACTTAATTTTTCTTATAGCAACTTTTGAAATCTAAATAGTAACGCACACATTCCATCAACGTAAAAAATAAAGAATAATGTATTTAAAATTTTGACTGGCCCATAACTAGTTTTGCAGTTATCAGAGTTTCAATTTTGAAAGGGGGGTGAAAACAAAAAAAAAATTATGAAAAATTGAGATCACATTGTATAAAAATTCAATAATACTGAGATATTTTCAAGTTGTTAATAAACCAAAAAATAGGATTTTAGACTTGCATCCTTTCTCATCAACATGGTCTGATTTTTGTAATTTGTGTATTTTTTAATGATTATTGAAAACTTACATTCGGTATAGCATTTGGTTCGGGAAGGTGAATGCCGCCGATTTCTATGAAATTGGGTGGCATGGGTCTGGCCGGTTCGACGATGACATGACTGTTTGCAAACACCAAGGACGGTACGACCGGTTCTATATAGTCGTACGGTTTGGGGTTGGACTTGATGGCTCTGATTTCAAAGTACCACAAGAGGAATTTACTGGATTTGTAGATGAGGAAATTGAGCAAACGTTGTTGGAACGACTTTGGGTAGCTGAAAGACGAAATCAAACTCGACACGTACGCCGGGTTGGACTCTTGGCCCAAACACGACGATTCCAAGTAAGTCGGTAACGGTGACGGGAAGAGATAAATCAGAGGCAAACGGAGCCGGCGAAACAAGTGTGACATACAGTGCGAAGCATACGTTTCGCTGACGATGACATCGAACTCATCGGTATTACCTGCAGTCATGAGCGTTTTTATTTTGGAATTAGAATAAATAATATCACACAATTGTCTGTTGTGGTGTACTGCGAAGTTCATTTGATTGTTTATAGGATTTAGAAGCTCTAGATATTCCACCAAATCCAAAGCCATGAACATTGATCCCTTAAAAACGTTTTCCGTATAGTTTTCTCGTTCGCCGTCTGGAAACCAAGTGAAAACCGTGACGTTATGACCGGCGTCGGTCAGCGAATGCAAATATCCATTCATGAAATTCCAATGACTTTTTGCCGCTATCGTATGTACGGCCAAGACCCGTAAGCCTGCCTCTGTTGGATGTAAAAACAGCGAAGCGAACGCCAAAAACGCCGACACAATCGACGGTAAAATCATAATGGTGAGGTGAGTTGTTACAGTGTTTGACTGTTTCAGTGTCTGGTGAACTAAAATACTACACACCGAACAGGATGTTTTAAGTGTTTTAAAATAGAATAACTAGGCTTGTAAATTTTAATGAATTTCATATCTTAAGTTGTAAAATAACTCATGGCATCTTTTATAATATTATGTCAATGATAAATGTTAATAAACTGATAATATGAAGTGTATTTTAAATACTGATTGCTTTCGCGTGTAATAAATTCATTAAATAAATATTTTATTATTCGTACATTTTATAAATGATTTCAGGTTATACAGAGGAGATTTCTATAGTTTATGTTATTATATTACAGTTGTACGGCTTGTTGATGATTTATAGACAAAAGATTCCAAAGGATTACACAAAAGTTATATAGTATTGATGCAGAGTTTAAAATATATATTTATTTGGTAATGATAAATTTTATTTTGTATCACTAGGCCAATATTTATCACTTTTAGCATAGAGGGGTCTGTGCATGAAACAGACGGAAAGGTTTCGAATAAATGCTTCGATACGAATCAGTGGTTAGTATGTTCAAACCAATCAAAAGTAAGCCAAAACCAAGTAAAGTATAAATCAGGATAGCAGAAAAATATTAAAGTGATTTGCAGTGTTTACAAATATATTTTTAATTAACCGAACACATTTATTTTCCATTACTTAGCCATTATGTATGGATTGCTTGCATTCATCTCATTCCCCTTAAGCTTAAACTGGATTAGTGCAATACTCAACAATACAATTATCAACACTCAAAATAAGAAAAAATATCTTGGTTTAACGCTAGACAAACGTCTAACTTGGGGACCTTACCTCACAGAAAAAAGGACAAAATTAAATATTAGATTGTATCTTCTCCGCCTGGTGTTTAAATCCAACCTGCCACTCAAGACTAAATAACCAGATCACATTATAAAATAACTCTATGAAAAAAAAAAATTAAATTGCTAATTAAACCTGTATATATATATACACAAGTGTTTCACATAGATACGACAAAATATGATACAACTTTTGTCGTAGTGAATATTTTTAAGTTATGATTACTAGTTTGCGCTATAAACACTAAGATATCATTAAGATGGTCAAACATGTAAGCAAATTATTTAAACAATTTATAACGCCTTCCACCCCCAGAAAATAAGATGCGCTTGTATGAGGTTCCACTGTTCCATACACGCCAAAACTGCTAAAATTTGTAATAAATTCATATAATTAATCGATTAAAATATTTAAAACTCTTCAGGACGTACTAGAGCCCATTAAAAAAATTGCCAATTGGAGTAATTTAATTCACGTTTGGATCGACAGTAAAAATGTCATCATTTCCAGACCAAGCTCTTGCAGCCTCTCATAGAATACTGTAGAAATATGAGAGCAAAATGAAGGAAAAACCGGACAACGTGATGACGAAAATAGATGGTTCCCTCAACGCGATATTCTTTGTAAGACTCAGTGAGGAGACGTTTAGTCTGTGTTAGATTTTTTTTAATTTTTACTATTTACTTATGTTAATTATACTGTTTACACTTCGCAGTGGTGTACCAATGATTTTAGGACTGTGGGACAGCATACAATTTTGAGGGGCCTCTATGTTATCCACTACCAATAATAGTTACTATCACTAACTACTGTACATAACTTTTAACTTTTTTATTCGTTTTTTTTTTTAAAGATATACAACTTGCTCACTTTAATTATTAAAATTAAAGCTTAACTAGAACGCTGCCAGTTTCGACTTTTGATAATAAAACCTATTTAAATTAATTATAAAGTATAATAAACTGAAATTAGTAATTTTTCAATTTATAAAGATTTTCTTCGGTTTTTCATTAGGTAGCGAAAATGTATCAATAACTTTCTTGAAATCAATATCTTCAGCTATGATTCTTTCTATACTTAGTATAGCTTAATTTGATAGCCTATCTTCACACATAGTAGAGCAAAGGTCTGTTTTAAGCAGCTTAAAGGCGACTAAAACTTCGTTCAACAGTGACACTGCCTACTGGCAATAAATAAAATATTTTATATTATATGTTTATATGTTGATACTGTGTTTTATATATTGTATTTTTTTAAAACAATTTTACATTTGTTTTTCTCTAGCAAATCCCGTGTATTGCGTTAAGCTTAGATTGGGTTTGACGCTGTCGATGTCGGAGAAATGGTAGGTTTTACTCGAACTTTATTTACATGTGACCAAATAAAAAACTTTTAGCAAAAAATGCATGTCATGTCCCGCCTCACGTGCTCCTTACCTATACAAACCCAACTGAAAAAAACCAAAAACAACAAATCTACCTTTCAATAATAGTATAAGTTGCAGAAGCCTAAGGGAAAAAAATGATTATGACTAAAATCACAGAATATGTTATAAATCTATATATATATATATGATAGATTTAATAATATATTCTGTTGAAAATTATGATAAATTTATCGATTTTAACGACAATGATAATTATAAGAATATTAATGATAACAATGACAATGATAATTATTATAATAATAATGAATAAAATATGTTCTCTTTATTAGTTTTAATAAAGCTCGTTAAACTGTTTATCTTATTTACAAGTGTGTTGGTATTTTATTCTTTCTCCGTTAGGTGAAGTGTTTTATTTTATTTTTATCACATGTAAGTTACATAACCCTAACATGTTATCGTCAGTAAACATCTCTGCACAATAATATGTGTGTCAATTACTATATATTATTAATCTTGTCATGAAAAAAAATTAGTAGTTGAATATCTGGCGATGTGGCATAATGTGTAAAACTCTATGCACTCACCTTACGCCTTACTATGGAGTTCTTGCAGTAGCGCGTGTTGTTCATCGGTTCCATTCGTTTTTTAAAAAAGTAAAAAAGACAATAATAATTTGTCCCTAACCATCATGCTGTTAGTGTCGATTATCTCGTTCTTTTTAGCGTCGGCTTCGCTGTTTTCACGTTCAACCGGGGCAGGCTTACGGGTCTTAGCCGTGAATACGATACCTGCCAAAAGTCATTGGAATTTCATGAGAGGATTTTTGCATTCGCTGACCGACGCCGGTCATAACGTCACGGTTTTCACTTGGTTTCCAGAAAGCGAACGACGAAACTACACAGAAATCATTTTTACGGGATCGAGGCATTTGGAAAAGGATTTGCTTGAATTTATAGAGTTTCTAAGACCTCCGAACAATCTAATCGACACAATGGTAAACGTTAACAGAGAACAATGCGATGTTGTATTTTCAAATTCCAACATGAAAGCCATCATGGCTGCGAGCAATACCGACGAGTTCGATGTCGTCGTCACCGAAACAGTAGCTTCAGACTGTATGTCACATTTGGTCCATCGTCTCCGCCTACCTCTAATTTACCTCTTTCCTTCGCCAATAATAACTTTCTTAGAGTCGTCGCTGCTGGGACAACAACCTAACCCCGCTTACGTGTCGAATTTTATGTTGTATTTTGGCTACCCAAAGTCATTCCAACAACGATTGCTAAATTTTCTCACCTACAACTACAGTAAAATTATGTTTTGGTATTTTGAAACCAGAGCCGTTAAGTCCAACCCCAAACCGTACGACTATATACAACCGGTCGTACCGTCCTTGGTGTTTGCAAACACTCATTTCATCGTCGAACCGGCCAGACCCATGCCACCCAATTTCATAGAAATCGGCGGCATTCACCTCCCCGAACCAAACGCAATACCGAATGTAAGTCATAAATAATCATTAAAAATATATATAGGATAAATTATATTTATCTACAAAAAAATATACAAATCGGACGTTGTGAGAAAGGGCACAAATCTAAAATCCCTAGTTTTATGGCCACGACAACCGTTAAAAAAAAAATTATATTTTACTAAATCTGTATAAACATTTTTTACTAATTATTTAATTACTTATGATATAAAGTTAGAAAGTTTAAAATATAATATAAATAAATACTATAAATCACTATTTTTACCCTTAATTGTTTGTAAAAAATGCTTACTATTTCTCATTCAATTCAAGCACTACAACAATAAGTTAAATTACATTTATTTAATCACCGAAAATTGTAAATTAAACGGTGTTAGTGAGAAACATGATACAAGTACATAAATTAATACTATAAATCACTATATTTACCCTTGATTATTTGTAACAATTGCTTACTATTTCTAATTCAATTCAAGTACTAAAACATTTTTATTAACATATCAGCCACTTATACAATAAAAAAAAAATATTTAAAATTCTTAACTATAGTATTTTAAATTGTAATTTCGTTATTATATGTATACAATACGATGCTAAAGCTTTTTCCACATGTACAATGGTACTCGTTTTTTTTCAATTGACCTAACACCTATGGCATCCTCCCTCTCCCCATTGAGCCGAGCTTATTATGGACAACGCCTCATTTACAATTATACGCCTTCACTTTTGCGTTATACTTTACAAGTCGATACTACTATAATAGTAATAGCTATAATATTTTCATAAAATTAATCGATTAAAATATCGACTTCAGGACATACGAGAGTTCATTGAAAATTCACCAAATGGAGTTATTTACTTCACGTATGGATCGACAATAAAAATGTCATCATTTCCAGACCACATTAAAACCGCATTTAAACTAGCTCTTGCGCGCCTCCCCCAGAGGATACTGTGGAAATATGAGAGCGAAATGGAAGACAAACCGGACAACGTGATGACGAAAAAGTGGTTCCCTCAACGCGATATTCTCTGTAAGAATCAGTGAGGAGACGTTAAGTAATAATTTATATCTATTTCAAACCTGTAAAAGAATAAACTGATTTTTTCCTAGTGCACCCGAATGTCAAGCTGTTTATCGGTCACGGTGGAATATCTGGCTTGTTTGAAGCTGTCGATGCCGGAGTTCCGATGTTAGGGTTTCCACTTGTCTACGATCAACCGAGAAACATTGCCAATCTGGTCGACGCCGGAATGGCCATTGCACTCGACGTGATGACCGTCACCGAATCTCAGATATTCGAATCGATTAATAAATTAATCAACGATAAAAAGTAAGACCTACAGTCAAAAATAAAATGCACATGACGCATAATATGATGCACTATAAAAATGTACAGTAAAAGTCAATTTTTATTGACAATGAGAATGAAGTATAGAATAGATACACGTTGTTATAGTCTTAAACTCTTGAAAAATGCATATGTTAGGTGAATACAGGCAGAAACTAATTAATAAGTCCAAGCAATTTATAGTATTTTATTATTTTTTTAAAGATATAATGTTACAAATTTAAACTCATTTACTGTCATTATTTTTTTATTTTTATAAAACATTTTAGAAAAAAAAACATATCCGATGTTTATGGGTCAATATGTACATGGTTAGTGCAAGTAGGCATAATAAGGCAATAAAATCCAAGTAATTTTTATTAAAAAAACATAAAGATTGAACTAAAATGAATACACTTATTACTTTTATTCCTGGTTTTTTAAATTATTTTACTTAGTAATTTTTGTAATGTTATTAGAACAAGATTCACTAATTATAAACCAGTCAAAATCTTAGAAGGCACCAGAATTTTAAAAATTATTCTTAGTTTTTTTTTAAGTAATATTTCGCTCAATTTTTGTTTATTTTTTAAAAATATATCCCCATTTCCTATGTGTATTGTGTAAAGTTATTGTACATAGTTTATTATTTTGTTTAGTAAAGAATAATTTGATGAAAATTTTAACTGAACGATAACTAAGTTTGGTAATTTACTTTAAAAGTAATTAAAATACAAATTTAAAACGGGACGAAATATGTGGCGGGTCACCTAAGTTATTTGGGTGCATTACTATCCTCCCCCGAAATTTCTACTTGCCCTAAGTTTTAAACCTTAAAAATAATTATGCAAACACTGTTTTTAACCAGCCAACATTTTCAGCAAGTGAATAAAATAATATATGCGTACCTATAATAAAATATGCGTTACCATTTAAATATTTTAAGTTCATAAGTTTTAACACCTACGGCTTATATGGTTGAAAGTTATATATTAAATTCGGGCTAAATAATAACTGTAAAAACATATAAAAAATAATAATTCAAAAATGTAATATCGACTAGATATGTGAATGTTTAAAGATTTAAACACAACTCAAATATTAACTATAGATTAAAAACTATCCTAGTTTTAATAATTGTAAATATTTTAATAATTAACATTGTACTCTTAATATTATGAGTATAGGTTTATTAATAAGTGAAAAATAACCTTCAAGTGCTTCGAATGACAAATTTGTTTTTAGACATATTAAAAATTATTATTTATTTTGTTTAACTTGTGCTATGTTACTTCAATTAGGTATTCGTCTAACGCCAAACTAGCTTCCAAGCGTTTCAAGGATCGCCCAATGTCACCTGCTAAATCAGCTGCTTACTGGACGGAATACATTGTACGACATAATGGTGCACCACATCTTAAGACAAAAGCGTTTGATCTCACGTGGTACGAATACTACCTTCTAGACATACTATCTCTGATACTCGTCACGTTTTCGGTCATTGGCTATATTCTCTATAAATGTTTAACTGTTATATGTAAACAATTTTTTTCAAGTTAAAGATCAAAACTGAGTAAAATTTGTATAATTGTTCTTTTTGGTTGTAAAAAAGATTTAATGTGTTTCGTCTACACCAATAATAATTACTCCCAACGATCAAACTTCTTCGAGGGAAAATAAAAGTTATATTTTCTTATTTTTCTACTTACTATGTAAAGAATATCTTATATAATTTTGGTGTTAACTTTTTTTTTTAAATACATACTTATACAGTTAGTCTATATGAATATTACTTGTATATATATACTTCTGTTTTTGAATTCATCTAATACCTAAAAAATATTATTTTACTATTCGTATTTTAATTCAATACTGAGTTGTACAACAAGTAGGATAAAATTATTTCAACTCATAGAATTGGTAAATTGTATCTTAATTTTATGACTTGTTAATGCCTGGTCTTAGACATTGTAAAACATATTTTCAGCACCGGATGACTGGTGATTATTTCACCTAGAATTTGGCTACGGTAAAATAGTGTTATTTTTCTATTCTTTTTTTTGTATTTTCATAATAAAAAAATATGATTACACTTTTTATAAAAAAATTGTATATGTTGTGATTATATTCTAGATCTACCTTCAGTCTAATTTTCAGACCATTATTTCTAAAATATCGCCTTAGAAGGTCTAAAGAAAAAATCCACCACTTTAAAGGGGTAAGGTTTTATGATATTTGATTGGCTTGTCAGCGCGTTAAACGGTAGTACTATGCCTAAAGAATATTCAACACAAATTTTGAACTGATAGGTGTAAGTCATTAATACAATGATCTGACAATCTGCGTGTTTGTGTAATAATATAATATAATTTAATTATTTTAAATCAAACAGAGGAAGTTCTAGCATTTATATTATTGTATTGTGGTACTATAGTGGGATATAAAAAAATGGTCTAGCTTTTTATAGTACCATTTTAAGATCTACATTTAGCGAAATCCTCTTTTGAACTATAATACTACACAATTTTAAGTCGTTTGTAAGCCTTTTGTGAGCTGATCAAGTTTTTCCCTATTATCATCTCCTGGCCTAAGCAAATTTTACATCTTTTTTTTATTATGTTACAATAATTCACTAAAATAGTATGTTAAATTAAATTAAATTTAAAATATTAATTTTATTGGTTTCCAAATTGTTACGAATGGGACAATAATGATTTATTAGTATAACAATACCTGTTTAAATTTTGTAATGTAACTTTTATTACTTCATATTATGAAAATAACAATATTTGTATTAGGTAATTTAGTACTGAAAGAAATCTGAAAGTAATTTCATCCCAATCAAACGTTTTAACAAAAATCTTGTTGTGAAATTAGTGAAGTAGAAGTATAGACCATTGAACGGTGTACAGTTAAACCAAGCACAGCACAGTCTAAACCAAGTAAATTTTAAATCAATACAGAAGAGGTTAGCAAAGCTGAGTCAAAGGAATTATTAAATCTGAATGTGATTTCGTTAAAAATCAAACGCTTTAAATATTCAAATATTCTTTATACTTCTGAACCAGATATAACCCGTGTATGTATCTAAAGGTGGCTCCACTGCATCTACTAACTTCGTATTATGTTGCTTTATAAACAAGCTCTAACCTTTTGAGATAGATACACTTTATAGATCTTCTTGTCGGGTATACTACATAAAAATCTATAGTCTTGGTTTGTAATAATTGTTAGCTTATTGTTCAATTTATTACTTATTGTCATAGCAGCTTATAGTCCCTTTGGAATTTTCATAGAGTAAGTTATTTTCACCTCAAAGGGTTACTAGCACTAGATGATCATAATATATTATAAGCAAAACTTATCTTAATAGAAAAAGTAAATTGCTATTGATTATTTAAAAATAATGACTAGAACTATACTCAAATACCGATTTCATTCATAACGAACATATTTATATAGAATAATTCAAATGTATGCTTAAATGTATAATTATAATAAGCAGATATTATTTGCTTAGGATAACATTTTCATAATACTAAGAATATACACACTTTATACATACAAAAAATAAACTATTTATCTTAAAACCAATGTTTATGTTTACTATTTTTTAATAATATACATTTTTTTCTAAGACTTTGCACAATACAGTTTGACAAATAAAACAATTTTCGTGATTTTCGTTTCAATACAGAATGAACCAACTTGAACAAACAAACTATATTAGTTTCCTGTCCTAAAATTGGAAGGGTTTTGAATATGTCAATTGCTTGCCTACATCTCACTGGCCATAGGTTAGAACTATTTCATTTCCGTCAGTTGTCTTATTAAATATGATTTATACTTCAAAGACAGATGAAATTTGAACCGAAAAATTATATTAGTATTTTTGATCATGGTTTACAAAATATTTTTAATATTAGTGTAGTTATACTAATTCTCGATAAATAATTAATCTATTATACAAAGCACAAAGAAGCCAGACGCAAACTTTACTCGGTTTTGAACTTTAACTTGAATACAAATTTGTTGTATATAACTTTTAAACATTTATAAATAATAAAGCCAATTACTGAAATCGTGACGAGTATCAGAGATAGTATGTCTAGAAGGTAGTATTCGTACCACGTGAGATCAAACGCTTTAGTCTTTAGATGTTGTGCACCTTTATGTCGTACAATGTATTCCGTCCAGTAAGCGGCTGATTTAGCAGGTGACATTGGGCGATCCTTGAAACGCTTGGAAGCTAGTTTAGCATTATACGTGTACCTAATTGTAAATAACAAAAAACAAATAAATTAAAATCAAGTTTCTTAATGCTTAAACACATATTTTTTTATTCTTAAAAGATTTGAAGAATATGAAATAGTTTTATGTTTTGTAAAGGAGCCGGTTTTAAACTGATATTGACACCACCTAATCTAACTGACTTCTTATTTAACTCCCATTTCCATTGTGGACTTACTTCGATTGCAAACCACTCATCATAAACCGTCGTGTATTGTTTAATTATAAAATAGTTTCAATTAAATTATTATAATTTAAATCTTTTTGATTAATATTTTAGTATAGTTTTAATAAAAAATATTGATGATTATTTTTCATTTATTCACAAATATGTAATTATATTATTAAGTTTTATTTTTGGATTAAAGAATTTTATAAAAAAAATTAGCCTGAACCGCAAAACCAATATCAACAATAATGAATCCCTGTTGCACCCATATTTATACACAATTGTCGGGACATAGTGAGGACGGGAAGGTCACAGGTCTAAGGACATTTTTAGAACTGAAAATTATAATATCACTTATTTACAAACGCTTCGATACAAATCTGTGGACAGTAGGTTCAAACCAGTATAGTCCAAACCACGCACAGTAAAAATCAGCACAGAGAGAAACTAGAAGTAGTAATTGTGTGAGGGTGGTCCAGTGATCACAGATAAAAATACAGTTATTATCGTAAAAAGCATAGTACCTTATGTCAATTATGAGCCTTAAAATTCATTTTTAGTATTAGGGTGTATACGATTAACATTGATCATCTGTCTATAAAAGTGTAATGTCATAGTTGCCCATATTATATAATAGATAACAATAAAATCAAAATATTTTCATACCTTGACGTGGAAATTAACTGTGTCTTTGACTCTTTTTGACTTGAAAAATATTGTAGGTGAAGCCACAAAAAGGGGAAAATATAATTTTAACTGTAGTCAATTTCCAAAATTTCTTTAGAGCTGTGGCCTTCACGTCCTCACTATATCCCGACATTTATGTATAAATATTATTTGTAGTATATTTTATGGGTGCAAAAGTGATTCATTATAGTTGATACTGGTTTTGCGGCTCAGGCTGATTTTTTTATAAAATTCTTTATTACAAAAATAATACTTAATAATATAATTACATAATATAATTTATTAATAAATGAAAAATGATCATCAACATTTCTGACACAAAATGTTATTAAATTAAAAACAGTTCATATTCAGTTTTAATATTGGTATTTTAATTTAAGAAAAAGAGTTTACCATTTCATGTTTTACCGAAGCTACTTACGCCTACTTAATTAAGTACCACTTGATGCGTTTTACTTAATACGGACAAAAGTTTAGATTAAATTATTTAGTATTCTTAATTTTTCCACGCAGTATAATATTTCGAGTTATTATTTTACACTTCATTCTCATTGTCAGTAAAAATTGACTTTTATTGTAAATTGTTCTGGTGCATCGTTCCACATTTCAATATTCTTACCTTATAACGTAATATTTTTTACCGCAGCTCTTACTTTTTATCGTTGATTAATTCATTAATCGATTCGAATATCTGAGATTCGGTGACGGTCATCACGTCGAGTGCAATGGCCATTCCGGCGTCGACCAGATTGGCAATGTTTCTCGGTTGATCGTAGACAAGTGGAAACCCTAACATCGGAACTCCGGCATCGACAGCTTCAAACACGCCAGATATTCCACCGTGACCGATAAACAGCTTGATATTCGGGTGCACTAGGAAAAAATTAGTTTATTCTTTTACAGGTTTGAAATAGATATAAATTATTACTTAACGTCTCCTCACTGATTCTTACAGAGAATATCGCGTTGAGGGAACCACTTTTTCGTCATCACGTTGTCCGGTTTGTCTTCCATTTCGCTCTCATATTTCCACAGTATCCTCTGGGGGAGGCGCGCAAGAGCTAGTTTAAATGCGGTTTTAATGTGGTCTGGAAATGATGACATCTTTACTGTTGATCCAAACGTGAAGTAAATAACTCCATTGGCGAATTTTCAATAAACTCTCGAATGTCCTGTAGCGATATAAATATTTTAATCGATTAATCATATGAATATAATAAAAAAATAATAGGGTTAGGTAACCTAACCTAACCTAACCGTGTATGGTACAGTGGTAAAGGCGTAAAATAGCGGAAGAGGCGTTACTATAACCTCCATTTGTTATACTTTTTTAAATAACTTTTATATATTTTTGGTTACCTTTTATGTTTAAATTTAACATAGCCACAAGTAAATTCGCTGAAAATGTTAATTGGTCGACTACCAGTTTTGGATAGTACTTAGCTATTTAATAAATTTATAAAAATAACTTCAAAAAGTAAAACATTTAAGATCAATAAAATTTGATGTGTTTTTTATAGCGCAAATGAGTATTTTAACTTTAAAATATTCACTTTAACAAAAGTTAAATAATTTGTCATATTTATGTGAAACACCTGAACATATATTATAT